ACCCACGCCGATTTTTCTGACCCACGCCGATTTTTCTGACCCACGCCGATTTTGGCTTAGTTCATGCTGGGCCCAGTCTAAGCATGGAGTGGCCTTTGCTTCGTGCAAGTGTGGCAGCAGCACAAGCAGTGCTGTCAAAGCCACCAGCGAGCCCAGTCAAGAAAGAGGAAGAGGATGGGGGCAAAGTCAAGAAGGAAGAGATTGTTCCAGCTATTTGGGTCAATGATTAATTAACATTTTTACATAATATGTGTTTTTCTTGTCACTGTTTTTGGTGCTTATCATCATTAGTCACCTTTGTGAGGTAAAGCCTGAGATCCCTGACCCTGTAGCCAAGAAGCGGAAAACCGATTGGGCCGCCGGATGCAAAAAACTCAATGGAGATTGCACTTTTGTCAAGGACTGGCTTCGAACAAAATGTTGAAAGGTTTCATGTCGCAGTCCAGTCAATTGTAACAAGTTAAAGGAGGTGCTGGACTTCTTGTCGCTGTTCACGGAGACTGTATCAACAGATGACCCAGAACCAGTGCACCCACTGGATGTGGTTATGAAAGCATTCCAGAGTGAAGATGCTGCAGCGGCAACAGTTCAGAAAATCTCAGTCTTCATGGAGGATGCGTTCAAGATCCATGGGAGAAAGCTAAACAAAGTGAACCTCCCAACAGCCATTGGGCAAAATATTGTTTATATAACACATTGTTTTGGTTTTACAAGCTCTGATTTTGGATGTTCTTTTAACTTGATGTTCAACCACTTCTTGGAACAATAAGGATCATGCCAGCTTGTCAGGGCTCTCCAGGCTTCCCCTTGATGCCATAATCATACGACCTCCTGATGATGGACTGCCAGTGGTGGATGACTTTGTAACGTGTGTGGTGTCATTCTTGATGGGAGGCTCCAAGTTGCAAAGGGAACCGATTGATGTGAACCTTGAAGATACTACTTCGATGAAAGAAGATGACCCTGCAGCTTACCAGCCAAGCTTTTCCATCAAAAAGGGTTTTACACGTCTGCAGCTGGTCATTGTCAAATATTTTTTGATGGATTTTGTTGACTATAATGGTTGTGATACTCAAGCCAGTAATGTCGCTTTCAAAGACACCACAAGCTGAGGACCTCAAGTCTGTTTCTTGTCATGCTGGCCTCTGACATTGACCCCATATTGGGGAAGGACTTGGTGTTGCCCTTGTTGCAAGCGATCGAGGAGCTGTGGGCAATTCCTTGCAACATTTCACAAGGGTTGGATAGAGAAACAAAGTCCTTCGAGTGCATGCAGCTCAGTGCTCAAGGAGCAGAACGCCAGCGGAAGAATGTGCTTTGTTGATAAGATTGTTTAACAATATGTTCCCTCCCAGTCACCTGTCATGTTTGGTTTTTTGTGTGATTCGTTTACCAACCCATGTTAAATCAGAAGCTTAAGGCATTGCAGATGAGTCTTCGATTTGAGAAACTCATGGCCGAGCAACGCGCATTGGAATCATCAGCAGCGCTCAACGACCAGGAACTTCTTTATAGCATCATTGAGCGCTACAACAATTTTCGGGGAGTGGCTGGGATCAAGAGATGGCAAATCTCTGATGACATGAAGAAAAGCATTGAGGGAATTGTGATCGGGATCACGGACGACTCAAAAGCTCTTCTGAGATCACACTTGGATTTCAACAAGTGGGAGGAATCTGGTGGCTTGGAGGAAAAAACACATCTTTTTTGGTCACACCACCAAATAATATTTTTCCCTGGCTGGTCAGTGTAGAAACAAATCTTCAATCAAAAAGAAATATTCCGAATCAACTACCAGCCTACAACGAGTCCATCCTGAAGTGCAAGAGACACCAACTGCACGAGACAACCAAGAATGCGTCGCCATTCTGGCAGAAGATTCTGACGGCAACATGGATATGTTTAATATATATATATATATTTTTTAATATATGTTTTCATCGTGTGTGCAATCATGGGTTGATAGGTGCAAACATGGACAGTAAGAAAGACACAATCAAAGCAACATAAGGTAGGACCAGCATCGCAAAGACTACACTTCATGAAATACAACCACTGGTGGCAAGTCAACGCGAGAAGAATGAAGCGTACTCTCCGCTCACGGCTTCGCTGGAACGAAGAAACCTGGAGCAAGAACATCGAGCACTGCTGCGTTGCAGTATGGGTTGTGGAGGAGTCGCTGAAGCAACCAGGGGCACGAATCTGAGTTGCTTTTGTTCTGCGCTGCAAACTTTCTTGGGGGTCTGTGATGTTTTCAGTTGAGGTGACTGATGAGATGCTGAATCAACTGATTGACACCTTCAAGAGTGGGCACCCTACCTATACATTCAATTATGTATTTTTGTTTGCCTTTTGTTTGCAACTTTTTGTATTTTTGTATTTATGAACTTCTTAAAGTAAAACCAACTCAGCTTAAGGGACTATTCTCAAGACCTGGATGCTTTGTTGCTCTCCCGCCCAGAGAACTTTAAGTGCGAGATGACTGCGATGTGGCAAGATTGCGTCGGCAGGGTGTTGCTCAAGCAGTCCTCTGGTGCAGACCCTGTGCTCCACGAGAGTGCAGATGTGGATGATGCGGAAGAATCTCAGTGTTGAAAATGATGCATATTTGTTGTTTCCTTTTTCTTCCACCCCCCAGTGCGTATTTGATAGCAGTCATGCTTTTTAAGGAGCAGCTCAATGCTGCAAAATATTCAGTGGATTGCGTTGCTTTGAGCCACGACTACCGTGAAGCGGTTGCATACAACTTGAAGAAGAACAAGCTGGAATCGAACCAGCATGTGACAAAGGCCAGAGGAATTATTGGACCAATATCAAGCAATTTGTGTTTTCAATCTCTGGTTGTACATGTTAAACACATCTTCAACATCTCCAATGGTGCCAGGTTCTGCACATGAAAGCGCAACTGGACGTTGGACTTTCAATTGCAGAGAAGTTTATGGACAGAAGGCTTCTTGTAGTTTGCGGAGAAAGAACTCAGAACGTGGCGACTCTACAACGCCGAATTCTGCAGGATGCCAAGTCCAAAGGCTTTGAGACCAGCATCGAGCAAATGCATCACCTTGGTTACATTGACCTTTCGAAGATTGGCAGGCTGTCCGCTCCTGATGTCCAGGAAGTCAGTGACTGGACCTACAAAGTCCTTGCATTGAACCCTTGTTTCAGCAGCTTGGAAGATTAGCCTTTCTTTTGAGGGACCTGACCTTCTGTGCTGTTCTTTTTTCACAGCAAATGCTCTAAGGCTGTGTGATCATCATCCTTCCTCTCCTTGCAGGGGAGGGTGTGCTAGGGGGAATCAGGGGCGAGATTCGGATGCTTGTAAATATTGATTTTCAGATGTTTTTGTATAGTTAGTCGTACTTGTCCACCAGTTTGGGCCAGTTTGGGTGTAACAAGTGTAGTCTTACTGGCACCTGTTTCCATGCATTAGCAGCAAGGAGGCTGGAGGACAAGCTCTGCAGCAATCACATGGAGATGAAGACGGTGCAGGTGGCGTTCAACCTAGAGAACTTACACGGCAACAGGACTGTGTGTTGAAACAATTTTGTTCCAATGGAAGGGTATGTTGAATGATGCTTGGTGTTGGCCCCCTTCAGATCATTTCCTGGAACGCTGCCTGCTTTCATGGTTTGCTTGGGCTCCACACTTGGAGCAAAGCAAGGCACGCTCTACCGGGCACCGCGAGCAGCTGAACTCAAAGCTACTGATGACAATGCATGGGCTCGCTCAGACTATTGGCAGCTGATGACATGCAAGCCAAGCCCTCCATTAAGTGTGAGCCACTTGACTATTAGATGGCACTCCTTTGTTTCTTTTTGGAGGACTACTTGAGGAAACCAAACAAGGCGAGTACGTGACGCCCGAAAGCTCTTCAATATTCAGCCATGAACATGGTCGTTCCTTGACCGACCCTTACCTTGACTATATACGGTACGTTTTGATGTGTTTTGTATTTTGGTGGATCGTGCTATATGTGTTTTGTGCTGTTTGTTGTTCCTTTGAGGACAAAGAGGAGACAGCTCAGTGGGTCAGTGCTCCAGGAACGATCAGGTCGATCCTTGAAGCTGCAATGGGCCGGGTTTCTAGTCTGAAGAACCACAGTTGCATCGTTCACAACAAGACGTTGTACGAGGGGACCTTCGAACGTGTGACTTTCCTTCCAATGGCTGAGGATGGTTGTATAATATGTTTTTCTAGCATTTTTCTAGTTGTCGATGCTTGTATTTTTCTAATAAAGCCTTTATGATCTTGCATTTTTCTCAGGTCCTGTATGAGATGATGGATGAACTCAGCAAAGAATGCTACTTGTGTGGATTTTCCGAGACAACAAACCCAGTGGTTCATACCTATGCATGCACCCAGATCAAGGATAAGTTGATCGAAGATTGGAAATCTGGGAGCGGATGCATTGGTAGCTGGACACCACGATTCAACCCGGAGCCTGATCAAAGCACAAACCTTCAGCCGCAGGTACCAACGATGAAGGTGTGCAAGATGGAAAATGATGTCCCGGTCATTCCCAAGGAGGTGCGTGAGCGGTGGTTGAATGATCCAGTTCGAAGAAGCTTGATCTATATCATTGGTAATATTTTGTTAGCAGTTCAATTTCAGTTGGGTTGGGTTAGAAACTATTGCAGCAAATTACAGCACGTTATCGGACAAATTAATCTTGAAACCAAGACCCCGATTGGCGAGTGCGACTCAAAAACTTTGATGCCGTCTTCGCAGCGCCAAGTGATCCTGGTACAAGCGCACCACGCCCAAGACCTGATCCTTCTGCCCAAGATGTTGACCTGGGAGCAGACAAACCCACTCCACCTCAAGAAGGAGGAAGTGCTACTACTGATTCACATGCACCTGCGAGTATGACGGTGGAAGCCTTCAAGCAGAAATTTCCAACAGTCACGGCGACTGTGGCGATCAACCTTGGGCAAACAGTCACAGCTTACTTAGTAGAGAACCAAGTCTACATTATGTGTGCAGTGAAGCACAGAATCGTGGGTGCTGAGAGCAGGGAGGCAAAATGCATTTTCCCTTACGGTGGAGGGCAATGGATCTCTGATGGCGCAAAGGCAGGGACACTAGCAAAAGTAGACTAGCAATTGTCAATTGTGTTAAAAGGCGTTTAAACATTATTTATCACTCACTTTGTCAGGCAAAGGATTTCCTATCCAAACCGCAGAACGAAAACAAGGCGATCGAATTCCTGGTCAAGAATAAAGCCAGATGGCCCCTAAGAAGCAGTGGTCATATGTGTTAATATGTGTTCATATATAGTTTTTCCCCTCCCAACACTCCTACAAATATTGTTAAAATAACGTTCAATATGTTCAAACCGTGAATGGAGTCTGCGCAGGTTGTCTTTGAAGAATCTACCGCAGAGAAGAGTGGGGCTGTAGACAGTTCACCAATGGACTTCAAGACTTTGTGGGCTCAGCTTGAGACAAGGGGCCACCTGAATCTGAAACTCACAGGGCACAAAGTGTCCAGACCGGCTTCCGTGATGCGTGGTGAGGAATCAGACAGGCAAGGGATGAACAAGTCTATGTGTTCAAAACATGTTAAAACAAGTGTTATCTTCTATTAATAATATGCTGCCTCTGAAGGCTGGACATCGAGCACGAGATGCACTCCGTCTATAAACCGAACCCAGTCCCAGCAAACAAGGCGAAATCAACCAACCTGGCCGGGTTGGTTGGCTACAAAGCACTTTCTTCTTCCAGTTGGATCACGCTCGTGTGGCGACATTTGGTTTTGATGCATTTTGGGGGTATGATCTGTTTTAGTTTTACATGTTTGGTATTATGAACAGAAATTAGTCCTTGACCTGGATGAATGTTGCATTGAGGAATGCGCCTTTACACGAAGGAGAAAACACTGGGGCCAGCGAAGCCGTTGTGGTTTCCGTCACGCTCATGGGTGATGGAAGCCAATACAGTTTATCAGATCGTGTGAGAATGGGGAGGCAACCAATGCACTCTTCAAAATTTTGATCCCAAAGCCAACCTGTGTCTGAGTGAGTGAAAAAAGGTGTGGTGCAATGTAATTGTTCCAAATTTAAGTCCACAAACACACCATCAATGTTCATTCAGTTCAACTTGTTCTTGTGTTTGTAGATTTTGCTCCAAGCACTGCCAGCTTCAGCTACAAACGATCCTGACATGATGTCCCATGCTATCGACCTGGATGGTTCTACAAGTGCATCGGCAAAGGAGTCGTTGCTGGCAAAGCATTTGAAGATGGCTCTCCCATCAGTGCCTTTTTCGATCAATCCGCCAGCTGTGATTGAACGCCCTGACCCAAAAGCAGCTTCAGCCAGACCTCAGACGTTGAGGCCAGCCTTGGTCAGGAAGAATGCCTTTGAGTTCAAGGTTAGTACAGACTTGGAGAAGTATATGATGACTGGTGTGGCTCAGCCGGTTGTGAATGGCAAGGATGTGACTTTCTCCAGATTACTTTTTGTGCAATAGTTTGCAAGACTTTTTCATATATAGGAATCTAAAAGATTGCTTTGGTGAAGTTTTCAAATCCATTTTGAGATGACCCTGCTTCAGGATTCAATGGATGTGGCAAGGCCTTTTCGCTCTAATGCAAAATCAGACCCGTACGAGGACTACCAGAAGCTGGAGTACGATGGTTTCAAGCCTCTATCCATGGACATTTGGGAAGGTCACAACTCAGATCAAGTGATGTCACCACAACAGACTTCACACACCCCTGGTCATACATCACAGGACACCTTCCCGGACACCTTGCAGGACACTTTGCCAGACACAGCTCGTTCAGATCAGAAGCCCAAGGACACTTGGATCCCTGCTAACAGCCAACGCCCAGAGGCTGAGCCTGAGTCCAACCATAAGACCAACCAGAATGGAGTTTGTGGGTTTATGGATGGCATGGTGGATATGGATGCAAAGCCGCTGCCAAAGGATACTTTGACAGAATTTGTTGCAATTGTTGTATTTTTGGATTATCTTTTGGTATTTTGTGAGTAAAGAAGGACCAATTTGAAGCCACTCGAAACCAGGAGGACACTACCAAGCGTGAACTCTTTCCAGAGCCTGTTCCTGTTGCTGCTGGGGGTTCAGGTGAAAGTAAGGATGCTACAGAGACAGGTGAATCACCACAAGTTGCTCATGCAATTGCTCCACTACCTACCCCGAAGCGCCGTCGGACGTTACAAGATGGCAATGTCACCATTGCACCATCAGAGATGGATAAGGCTCATTAGTTTTTGTTTCAAAAATGTTATGGTCTCCAATTATCAATTGCTCTTTGAACATCACACTTAAAAACCTTCTAAACAGGCATCGCCTGAAGCTTCGGAGAAGAAGTGGAAATACAAGGGTGTACGCATCACTGAAGAGACCAGCCCCAGTACCAAGCGCAAGATTCTCGATGAACGTGCACAGCGACACCGGGACAACTCCGACGCATGGCACGCTAAGTATGCATCGAAGGGGGTTTCCTGTATGCAGTATGCACGTATATTTTTGCTGTATTTTTGTTATGATTTTTACTGTAGTTAAAAAACTTGGTTGCCCACACGCAACGTCAAAGGTGAAGAAAACCAGTTCAACAGCTTCAACGATTGCTGATGAACCAGTTCAGGACACGCCACCAGCATCTTCAATGGCATCTACTCCCAGCCCAGATGCACCAAAGGACAAATCTGTGGGTCATGAAATTCGTTGGAAATTTGTTTCTTGTATTTGTTTAATCCACCTTTTGTTTGTGTCAATGGTTTCTACTTATAGACTTTTATATCCCCCCAATCATCCCAAACATCCCACCATTCACCCAGGTGAGGGACATGAAAGCGAAGGGCCACACCATTAAGGAAGCCCATGCCATGTGGATGGAATCAAATGAGCGGGCTTCCTTGCTAGCTGGCAAGAAAGGAGTTCAAGTGTGAACCTTCTATGAAACAATGGAAGGTGTATAATACCGTGTGTTTAGAAATGCTGGATCTGATCGTGGGGAACCACAACTTTGTGGCGATCGGGAGCAAACAAAGGTGAGTTGCAGATAATGTGCGTTTGTCAGTGCACTCTTTCAACCGTTTTTGCTTGCAACCCAACAAGTGTGGCACATGCCAGGTGAACTTCGAAGAACTGAGTGTGCTACGTCTACGTGTGGTTGGAACTACCAACCAGTCTCAGTGCTGTTTTGGATGCCAAATGTGGACACTTTAAAGAAAAACAACACTCCCTGAGTGGAATCATGTTTGAGAGTAAAACATATCTATATATACAAACACAGCAGCATAGTTCACAGCACGGTGGCCCGAGCAATGCTCAGGATGCAAGCACTTGCTCCAGAGAAAGGAAAAATATCAGTGTATTGCGGCATTGCGTGTTTGCTTTCATGTGGCTTAGGAAACTTCAAAAGAAATGTGTTAGCGTTTTGGTGTCTTAGAGTATTACTTCGAGGTATCCCCACCAACCAGAGTATACACACAGGCCCTCTGGCTCAGCCCCTTTTCCCAACAGCGACCGTACAGCATTGAATCCTATTGTTGATTTTCTCAGGGACTCTACTCTGGGCTGGTTTGATACACTCAACTTATCTCAGAGACTCTACTCTGGGCTGGTTTGATACACACTTAACTTATCTCAGAGTCTTTACTCTGGACTGGTTTTGAGTCACTGAGTCATAGAATATGGTAGCTGAGCTTCTGAATCATTGACAGCTGATCATTCTAAATTAACAGCTAGTTACCACGAAATTGACTTCCATTAGGAAGCCAAATCATTAGGCACCATGTTGAACCTCGTGAAAAGGTCTTCGTCCCTGAACAAGAAGATGATACGCCTGTGGACCTCAAAATGCTTTCATCGATGAGCATAACAATAGCCCAGTTTAAAGACGGAAGCTTTGAAACATTCGTCATGTGGGATTGGTGTAATGCTAGATGCAAGCTATTGAAGGAGCTGTGGACGGGCAAAACCATTTTCAGGATCGCAGGACCGAATGAGATCGACTATGGCGTCGAGTCCCGTGAAATCAGAAACGCATTGACAGACTTCAAGTATGCAGGTGATGGGCAACAAGGTTCGAACGACATCTACCTGGTTGGAACGGGAGCCTTTGAAATGGTCTTGTTAGAAGATAATCAGGCTACCATTAGAATACTTGAGTCAGGTCGGTCACCAGCGTTTCGTCATACGGACAAGACCCAACGTCTCAATTTGGCGTGGCTTGCTGAACAGTTCGGTCGAAGGCGTTTCGTACTCGTGTACGTTGCATCGATCTTGCAAGCCGCCGATATCTTTACGAAACCGTTTAGTAACGCCGAGAAATGGGATAAGCTCATCAAACTGCTTGCCATTGTCTCATCCCCAGAGCACAGCGTCCGCAAGGCCGAAAAGAAAGTGCAAAGCAAAGGGGAACCTTCTGCCGTCGGGGCATCGTCCGGACCTCAGAGGATCCTCATTGAAGTGTGTTGTGGGCCGAATTCGAAGTTAGGGGATACGACTAGAAAGCAAGCTCAAGGGTGTATCGTCTTTCGTATCACCGAACAGGACGACATCACTTCTCCCAAAACTAGGAAGAGAATTATTGATCTCGTGAACGGTGTCCTGCGGAAGCATGGACCGAAGGTCAAGATTCTCGTTTGGGTGAGCATTCCATGTACTGGCGGATCACCATGGCAAAGGGTCAACAAGTACATTCCTTCTGCTGCCGTCAAGATTGTAAGTCACATCAGTGAAATGAAACGCATTTGGTCAGGTATGGTTGACCTAGTTAACTCGCTTCGTCGATCGTCACCGTGGATCGCAATCGAGTGGCCAGATGGTTGTGACTATTGGGAACTTGACAAGGTGAAACAGTTTTGTGTTTTTCATGTCATGGACTCTGTTAGGTTTGACGGGTGCATGGTAGGAGTTGTTGACATGAACAATGTTCCTATTAGGAAGCCAAGGAGAATTCAAACTAACTTAAATCAGTTGATTGATGCTTTTGTTGGAAAGAAGTGTCAGGGTGGACATGAACATGCGGAAGGCCGAGGTGCATCATTGAAGCGCACGGAGGAATATACATACTCCATGACGGATTTGATTCATCAGGCTTTTCGCGTGGCCGTGTCTGCTCAATG